AAAAAACCACATGGCTCAGCACCCCTAGCACAGTGGTTATGGCGCCAGCCACCTACACTGAGGCTGGTGGGTTTGAACCCTGCCTAGGCAAGCTAAACAAGGACAACTGCAACAAAAAAATAGCTGGGCATTGTGGTAGGTGCCTGTAGTCCCAGCTACTTGGGAGGCTGGGGCAAGAGAATTGCTTAAGCCCAGAAGTTTGAGGTCACTCTACTGAGGGTGATATAATAAGACTCTGTCTCAAACAAAACAAAATGAAACAAAACAACTCATTAATTCATGACAAGAAATATAGCAAGACATTGTCTCTATAACATTTTTTAAAATTAGCTGGGCATGGTGGTGGATGCCTTTAGTCCCAGATACTTGGGAGGCTGAGGCAGGAGGATCACTTGAGTCCAGGAATTGGAAGCTGCAGTAAGCTATGATCCTGACACTGCACTCCAGCCTGGATGAGAGAGTGATACCCCATCTCTAAAAACAAAACAATAAACTTGTTTAAATGTCAAATTTTAGGGTCAGGTGTGGTAGCTCATGCCTGTAATCCTAGCACTCTGGGAGGCCAAGGCGGGTGCATTTCTTGAGCTTAGGAGTTTGAGACCAGCCTGAGCAAGAGTAAGACCTGGTCTCTAAAAATAGCCTTGCATTGCAGCAGGTGCCCGTAGTCCCAGCTACTTAGAAGGCTGAGGCAAGATAATCAGTTGCGCCCAAGAGCTTGAGCTTGCTATGAGCTGTGATGCTACAGCACAATACTGAGGGCAACAAAGTGAGACTTTGTCTCAAAAAAAAAAAAAAAAGTCCGGCAGCCTGTGGCTCTGTCGCTAGCCCCATATACCGAGAGTGGGCGGGTTCAAACCCAGCCTTGCCAACTAAATAACAATGACAACTGCAACAAAAAAATAGCAGGGTGTTGTGGCAGGTGCCTGTAGTCCCAGTTACTCAGGAGGCTGATGCAAAGAATAGCCTAACCCCAGGAGTTGGAGGTTGCTGTGAGCTGTGTGACGCCAGGCACTCTACCGAGGCTGATTAAGATTCCATCTCTACCAAAAAAAAAAAAATATATATATATATATGTGTGTGTGTCAAATTTTACATTACATACTTTTTTTTTACCACAGTAAAAAAATAGAGGAAAAACCTTAAATGTATACCAAACTGAGTGAAATAAGAAACCCAATTCCTCAGTTGCACTAGCCATGTTGGCTTAGGAACTCTGGGTGGCTGAGGGTGGCACAGATATAACATTTCCATTATTGAATAAAGTTCTACCAAGTGTCTTTGGCTGCTTTCCCTTTCCACCTCTGTCCACATCTCAATTCTTGGTAGAGTTTCTTAGAGGCTGCCCTGAAACCCCCACATAGGGCCTGAAATAATGCCCCTTCCCCTAGAGGCCCATATTGCTCTCAGTTGAATTTTCTCTATGCTCAGGGTATCAGGCAGGGTCCTGGCAGCAGGTAGGAAGCAGGAACTATTCAGAATGGATGATCAGAATGGACCATTCAGGAGTGTTGTAATTTTGTTTGTTTTTTTTTCCATTTGTAGACAGTTTTACTCTATTGCCCTAGGTAGAGTGCCGTGGTGTCACATAGCTCACAGCAACCTCCAACTCCTGGGCTTAGGCCATTCTCTTGCCTCAGCCTTCCTAGTAGCTGGGACTACAGGTGCCCACCACAACGCCTGGCTATTTTTTTGTTGCAGTTTGGCTGGGGCCAGGTTTGAACCTGCCACCTTCGGTATATGGGGCCAGCACCCCACGCACTGAGCCATAGGCACCACCCAGGAGAATTGTAATTAAGGGGCTATTTCCAAAGGTATGGATATGGCTTGGGGATCTAATGGGTTCGTATAACACCCAGGATGAGCAACATGGTGGGGAGCTGTCACCACACTCAGGCTGGAGGCTCCTGGAGACAGAGAAGCAAAGGGGGACTTCCTAGTGGAGCTGTGATCTTGGGTAAGGGGATGTTAGGATGGACAATGTTGGGGAAAGACCCCAATTCCTCCCTCCTCCCATCTCCTGCCAGCAGTCCTCTGGTAGACTCCAGTGGAAGGGAGGAGGTCCAAGCAGATCAATTTCCAGGACAGAGTGGGTTGAATAGTGGAGAGGCTGATACCCAACACCACTGGCTTCCCTATAACTCACTTCCTGCCCCTACCTCTCACCCACCTATCACACCATCAACCTGGAGCTCCTGGAAACCTCCACCCCACTGCTAGGACCACTGCTCCCAAAGCTCTGCCCAGAAGATAAGGCTAAAGCTAGCCAGGAATCTCCAGTTGTGAGACATAGGAAAGACCTCTGGCCAACTGAAGCTAAAGGGAATTTAATGAAAGGATCTGGGTGAGTCTGTAGAATGCACAGAAAGGACAGAGCCAGGGCAGTGGCCTCATCAGGTCATGGCTGCTCTGGAATGCAAAGTACAAGGAAAGAATGCCAGGTTTGGTGTCCTTGGACCTTTTCCCCATGACCTATGGACAGTGCCCTGAAACTGCCCCCAATGGACCACCAGAGCTCTGTCCCCAAAATAAAAGAAACAGAAACCAGATGGCTAGAAAATTACCCCTCTTCAAGATGAGAACTATCCAATTTCACAGAAGGGACAACAGGGCCCAGGAAGGGACACTGACCCTCCCAAGGCAGGCAGATGGCACAAGCCACTCTTTCAGAGACACTCTTAGCTGAGTGTGAATGCTGGGACTGGAAGCAAAGGACTCTTCTGGTTGTGCTCCTTGTGCCAGCAGGGACCACCTGGGCCTTTCCCCATGTCAGGAAGGTCAGCTGGGCAGGGGTTTTACCATGTTCAGGCCACACCCCCAAGGGCAGACGCATGGACAGAAGCAGGCTGAGCCCATGACTCTTTTATATATATACATGGTTTATTCCTCCCCACCCATGCTGTGGCCCCACCAGTCCTCCCTCCAGCACAGAGTTCCCCCGCACTGCCCTCTCTTGGGAGCTGGGTCTCTGAAGGGGGGAAGAAAAGAAGGGGCACAGACCCTAGTAGGAGGCAGCACCTCTGCAGCCTCAGCCATCTCCCAGAGAGGAGAGGAAGAAGAAGACACAGGACTGGAGTTCATATACTCAGAAAGCCACAAGATAGAAGACGAAAAGTAGCATACCCCTGGGAGAGTGGGGATGGGGAGAAACCAAGGCCAGATGCCAGTACCCCCCCCAGCTGAGGGATCATTTTACCATGACTTAGGGGGCTGAAGGGTGATACTGGGGGGAGAAAAAGAACTTGGGGGTGGAAGAGCCCAAGAGTGGTCCCACGCTGGCCTTGGGCTTCTGGGTACAGGGCAAGCGAGAAGTGAGGGGCCCCTGAACGCACTTGGCAATACTTGGGGCAGTGGAGGCCTACAGCTTGGTCAGGTCCAGCTTCAGCTTGTAAGGTGGTGGGCTGTCCTCACAGGCATGCGATGGGGGAGGGTACAGAGGCCAGTCTGGCTCTATCATGAAACCCTTATGCTGCTCCAGGGTCAGAGGCTGCAGTGGGAAGGGAGGGAAGGTGCAAGGAAGGAGGGCTGCTGAGACTTCACCTTGATAAGGCTCCTTCCCACCCTTGATTTTATTTTATCCTGATCACAGGTGGGCATTCTTTCCCCCCTAATTCTTAGGACAGTGAAGAACTTGCCCAATTTCATGAGGAAGTCAGAGGTCCTTGCCTCCATGAGAGGGGCTGGCTCAATCCAGGACCTGAGAACAGATCTCTTTGCCTCTCACCCCTCCCCCAGACTGGCACCACTCACTGCTCCCACCTACCTGGAACTTGAGATGCTGGCCGGGTGCAGTCACCATAGTAGAGCAGCTTAGCCAAAGCATCACCAGCACAGACAGGAAGAGGCAGCAGGCCAGGATCCAGCGAGGCAGCCCCGAGCGCCTGCCCCACCAGCAGGCATCACTCAGCTTCCTAAGCTCAGCCAGAGCTGGGGAGATTCTCATCTCTAGCCCCACCCCATCCCATCCCCAACCCACCCCCAGGGTCTTGCTGCCCACCGAGACATGCAGCTGAGGAAGTCGTTGTCCTGTGGCTCTTCAGACTCCACCTTGGTCTTACTGCTGGTCTTGACTCGGATCTTGGCCTTCCTCACCTTATCCAAAGGGCCTACAGGGTCTGAGAGATGGGCTATCACTCAGTGGCTTCCATGCCTTTGTCAAGAGGCTAAAGAAGCCATGGAGAAAAGAAAAGAGACCAGGACTGGGGCAATGGGCATGGAATCCTAAAATAGAGATCAGAACCCCAGGAGCTGGACCATGGAACCCAGGAATTGAGAAATGGAGACTCCAATCTTTGAGGGTTCGTTTACCAGGACTCCTTATGGCAATGCCCCCCCCCCCATGTAAGGAACACTGGTCTAGGTTGGACCTTACCCACATGCACCTCCAAGGCCTCAGGGTGAGATCCCCTCCAGGTCACCTCTACTCGCTGCAGACGTCCCCCTTGGAACCCAAGGCTCTCTACTACAGGTTGGGTCTGGGCCAGGAACAAGATGGAACAGAGGAGACTGTTAGGGACACTACCTGGGCCCCGGCAGGTAACTCTCTGTGCCCCAGATGGACTACAATATCCCATGCCCAGCTGGTACTTAGTTCTACGGTCTGGGGTGGGGGGTGGTGCAGGTAGGGAGGATACCATTCCATGGGCTCTGGGCTTAATGTTAGGAATATTGTTCTCTGCTCACATGGGCCCCTCCATCTGCCTTCAGCTCTCAAAGTAGGAACATGACCCAGACAAAGCCAATAGAATCACTAGGATTGGCTAAGCAATAGTCATATGACTCAGCCAGGGCCAATAAGATAAATCTCAGCTAAGACCCCAGAGAGATTAAAATCTAGAGCCTCTGGCATCCACCCTGGGGTCAAGAGAGAGCAATGGCTACCACAAAAGAAAGCAGAGTCAACAGGTGGATTGAGACAAGCCCCTGGATCCAGCTGGGCCTAAAGCTTGCCCAATGTGGACTTTGAATCCTATTAGTCAAGAGCTAATGCATCCCAACCTGACCCTGACCACTCTCTTGCTGATCTAGTGTGGCCCCCACCAGAGCTCTCACCTGGAACACCACCACCTTCCCATTGTCAGTCTGCAAGTAGTACGTCCAGGTGGAGGACACGAAGCCCTGGGCTGAGTTGACAAGGTCATTGCAGAGGGTGGAAAACAAGTCCAGGAGTGATAGGGCCCCGCTTGGAGCTTCCAGGACCTTTCTCTGGTGAGAGGAGGCCCAAGGCACAGAAATGTCACCAAAGTAGGGCATTAAGTGATGGGAAGGGGTCTGGGAGAATTCAGTATGATGGGATGTGGCTAAGTGGTTTTAGGCAATAGGGTTTCATATAACAAAGAGACCTCAGTGCTGCATTTGGCTTGCCGTGTGCTCGTGTCATCTCTGAGCCCCTAAATGGGAATGATTCTCTTCTCTCATGGGGTTGCCATGAGACGATGTCTGCTAAGCGCTTAGAACAAGCACTTAATGCATAGTAGCAACTATCACTAAAAATTCATCATTCTCATTATTCTTATTTTCACATCAAGAGGGAGCTCCAAATGGAAAGGGCTGACAGTGAAGTGTGCTTTCTTCAAACAGTAAAAGCTTGGGGGTAGGGGGTTGGGGAAGCAAATGGATGAGCAAAGAGGCTTTCTGAGGAGTCTTAGTTTATGGGTCTTTTGCTGTGCTGCCTAACTTCTTGTGTCTCAGTTTTCCCTGATGCAGCATTGTCTAAACTCACTCCTGGACAAGTGAGCAGTTATTATTTCTCTTCCAAGAAGATGTATTCATGCTTGGGAGGCTGCTCCTGCCTGAATCTCAGTTCTGAGCCTTTCTGGATGACAGTGACCATCTGCATACCACAGATGAAGGGCACCTGGCAGCTCTGGTGGTACCCAAGGTAAGGTGGCCACTAGCTTTGGTAGCTTCAAATCTTGTGTCTTGCATAGCCCTAATTGGGCAGTTGCTCCTTGGGCACAAAATAGGGGTGACATTGTTCCTGGTGCCTACAAGTGGCATAAAGAACTTAGGGATAGGTGGAGGTCAGACTAGACCAGGACAAATGCTTGATAAATGGTGACCATTTTCTGTCACACTCCTCAAAAGGTGATGGTGAATGGTCAGTGATAGGTCTCATGTCACAGAGATGACAACTGAGGCTGAGACATGACAAGGCTGGCTTGACGTCACCCCAAAGGCCAGGAATGAAACACAGAGCCTGGGAGACTCTGGCCATGAGTGACGATTTGAGAAGGGTGCCCACCTTCTGCTCCGGCTCTGGCTCCGGCTCTGGGGGCTGGCTCCAGCAACCCTGGCTACAAGCCTGCTGCTCTGTCTCCTTCACGTAGGCTTCCACACAGGCTGCAGGGGCAGGAGGGGCTTGACTGGGGGCAGCTCTTTGAGGGCCCCCTCTCCCAGCCCTCACCCTCCCAGCTAGCAGCCCTCACCTGCTTCACACTCAGTCTGGGTGGCATTGGGCTTGGAGCTCCTGGCTACAAACCGGCAGATGGAGAAGAGGCGGCAGCCTCGCTCGCAGGCGCTGATCAGAACCGCCTTGTCATAGGGAGATTGGGAGGGGCCCTCCAGCTCTGCCTGGGGGAGGGAGGATACTGTGCTCAGGCCAGGGGGAGGAGCCAGAGGAAGTGGGGGACTGGAAGCATTAAGAGAGCCAGGGGAAGGTCTGTTCCCCCCCCAAATCTAGAGAGATTGGGATTGGGTTAGGGGACACTTAGAATATAGTGGGGGCTCTTAGTTATGAGGAGAGTCTGGAGGAGGGGGCTAGAGAAGGGGGATGGACAATGTAGAGCACTGGTGGTGAGGAAATGTTTCCCCAGAGCTCCAGGGAGGAGGGGAAGATTAGAAGGATTCTCTGACGGGTAACTCAGGTTTTGTCACCCTTTGGATCAGGCTTGGAGAGCTGATGACATGAGTAGGGGCTGGTAGCTCTCTGAGAGAGGAGGAAAGAGGATGTGGAGGAGTAGGGACTAGGTGGAGGTATCGTCAGAAATGAGGGAGTGGGGGTTGGGCGTCCGAGGGTCCTTGCGCAGCAGATTATGGCATCTAGAGTCTCACTTCCAGCCCCGCCCACGTTTGGAAGGACACCCCCCCACATACACACACACACACACACACACACACTCACGCACTTGCACCTGATGGAGGGACCATACCCCTGAGCTCTCCCCCACCAGAAGGAAGCCCCCAGGAGAAATGCCCCAGTTCCCACTGGAGGGACCTCCCCAAACCATACCTCTTCCCCCTCCAAGGACCCCCTGCCTCCAGCACCTATCCAAAAGAAACGCATCCTCAACCCCTCCCCCATCAGAGAGATTCCCGAGTGGGCCGGCTGGCGCCTCACGCGCCTCACCTGCGAGGGCCGCGGGCCGAGGTCGCGGCACCGCAGCTGGCAGTTTTGCGTGTCCCCGAGCTGCGGGGCGAATGGGTCGCGGGCAGGCAGGGCGGAGGTAGCGGGCAGCGATGCCAGCAGCAACAGCAGCAGCCGCGGCATCAGCGCGACCGGAGCCATGGCCAGGCCGAACGCCGGGAGCTCGGGGGAGTCCGGCTCCTAGCGAGCGCCGAAGATGCGGCGGCCGCTGCGGGGACCGGGGCGGTGACGTCACCCGAGCTAGGCAGCCTGGGAAGGGGGGGCGGGGATGCGGTGAACGGGCGGGGGAACAGAGATGCCGCACCATCAGGGTGCGGGTGGGGCGGGGTAGGTGGATTGTCTGTCTCATCTCGGGGGTCGCATGACACCTCCCTGGTAACCACGGGTGGGACATATCTGTTAGTGCTAGGGGCCAAAAGGAAACAAATAAGGTGGTGTGTCTATCCGTCACGGGTGTCAAGGAGAGCCTCGCGGAGGAGGCGCCATTTGAGCCGACCACGAGGGAATGAAAGAGGGAAAGACAATCCAGGCAAAAGGAATAGCGAGGGCCCAGAGGCGAGGCGTGGAAGAACTTGTAAGAGAAGGAAGGAGGATGGTGGGGCTGGGGCTCACCTAGGGAGTGGAGATGGAAGTAGGTGAGGGCCTCAGGACTGAGCAGTAAAGGCCTGGCATCTTCTCCTTTGACACCAAGTCAGACGGATAGTACCTTGAGCAGTTTGTCTCCTCCAGGAAGCCCTCTGAGCCTCCTCACTGCTCCTTCAGTCTCACCTCCCTCTGTTCCAGTCCTGATCCAGGGTTCTGGCCCTCTCCCCCAGGTTGGGGATTCCTCGGTCCAGAGCTTAGTTGGAGGAGACACAGAGGTATACACAAGGGTAGCGGGGGCTGCTTAAGTTATAATTCTTATGGTAAAACTTGGGGCAAACAAGGACATGTCTGCCTTCCATAACTGCCGCACCCTAGGGTGAGGGGCTGTAGAACCCCGGTCAAATTTCAGGTTCGGGGTTCTCCCATCTTCCTCCCTATTAAGCGCGGAAATGGGGGCGCGCCTCTAAATTCGAGTGGTCTGCAAAGATGAACTACCTCTCACTTGCGCGCTTGGCGCAGGTGCCTACGGAGGCCACGCCACCGCGCAGCCCATGATTCTCCCATCTACGCTCCGCCCTCGCAGACTGGGCGGCAGCCTCGCCGGGTCAACGGGTCAGAGGGCGCCTCAGGTTCCGGCTAGGGAGGAGGGGGCCGGGCGGGGGCCCTGTCGCATCACATCCCCGGCCCGCCGCCACGCTTTCATCTCCGCGGCCCGGGACCGGCCCCCACGTGGCTTAATCAGGCGCGGCTGTGCCTGGCGGACCCCGAACATCTGGATCCCGGCTCGGCCCCTCCTCCGCCCCGCCCGGCCCCTCCCCTCCCCGGCTACACTGTAGAGACCCGGCCGCGAGGGCCTCCTGCCCGCAGGTCTGACCCACCCTTGCGTCAGGATCGCCCCTTGGGAAGAAAGCCCTGTGTATTATGACCAATTCTGTCCCCCAATTCACAGGTGGGAACTTAGGCTCCTGAACTTTCCTCGGCACAGACAGGATTCAAGCCTACACATGTAAATTCCAGAGGCCCGCGCTCTTAACCCTTCCACAATTACTGTACTTCATTCATTCCAAACAAAACGCTTATTGAAAAAACTATTTTCTTGCAATAACCATGTAAGAATGGTACTCGTAGCGTTGTCCTACTTACGTATGAGGAAGTCAAGGCTCAGTACGGGAAAGGAGATCGACCCAGATGACAAGGGAGAGAAGCCAGCAGAAAGAGCCCTGTAAAAGTTGGGAAGGAGTGCCGTTGGACATAAGAGGCATCCCTCAAAATACAACAAGGAGGGATGCCCTACGCCCTTTGCAGAACGGGAAACTGAGGCCGGAGGGGTGGCCCACAGGGCCAGGTCGCCCGAAGGGAGAAGGGAAAAAGCTTGATTAACGCCCATCCACCCCCTTTCCGCTCCACAGGGCTGCTGGGGGGAGAGCGGAAGGAGGACTTGACCCTGGTCCCCCAGGTAAGCCCCCTCGGCTCTCCTGCGGTTCCCGAGGGAGCGGGTCCAGGTGAGGGGCGGGCGGGCCGGCGGGCGGCCAGGGTCGGGTTTCAGGAAATCCGCCGACATTCCTACGGGGCTTAAGAGGGAAAGTTGACTCGGCACCGCCCCTTGCCCCCCCACTTCCTACCCCCCGGGGCGGCCTGGCCTGGGGCGGCGGGCGGGGGGCGCTGCAGCGGGCTTGGGCGTGAATCAGCGGCCGTCCAGGCGTCCGGGAAGCCGCTGCCGAGGTCAAGGCGGGCAGCCGACAAGCGCCCTTTGTCCCTTGCCGCCCTCACCACGACCCTGCTGACCCCCACTCCCAAGCTGGGTACAGGCTGGGGAGGAGGCAAAGCACCACGGCGCCTGCCGCTTGCTGACAGTTGCAGGGAGCAGAAGGAAGAAGGGGTGAGGTTTGTCCCCTCCCAGTCCGCGAAGATGGCATCTCTTGGGACCCAGATTTCCCAGGTCCTTCAGGGTGCAGAAGGGCATACAACCAGGTATGCCCTGGCCCAAGTGCACACCCTCCCAGGACAGACCTATGCAGGTCTGTAACTCCCCAGATCCCAGCCCCAAAGCCTGACGTTCAGAGGAATTAAACTTGGGACCCAGGCATACTGATTGAGTCAGGCTTAGCCTCTGGGTGGAAATTATAAAGCCTAGGTCCCACATAGACCCCACCTTCCTATGACGTAGGTGTCCAGACCCTCAAACCCTCGCTGCCTTTTCATTTCTGGGAGCCCCACCCTGGGGGAGGAGGCGTCTAATCCCACTGGGGAGGGGACGCTGATGGGGGCTCTCAGAATGGGAGGGGCAGCTCTTTGCCTCCTTGCCCCCACTGGCTATGGCTTGCCATGGGACTGTAAAGGTGCTGTTTCCACTGTTCTCTGCCTGGTGTCCCTTCACTGCTCTGGGATCACCTGGGTAGCTGGAGCTGGAAGGCCCCTCCAACCCAATCCTGACCTCTTATTCAGAGGTGAGTTTTGGGTTAAGCGTGCAGGACTAAGGAGGAGCCTCCTCCCTCAGCCCATGGGGGTGGGCTCTCTTTCTAGCTGCCCCTTAGTACATTCCCAGCCACCTTCAAGAACTTGGGTCAATATTTACCAGAAGTTCCACTTTGCTGGTTCTCCTGAGGAGGTAGTGGAAATCAAGAGGAAAAGGTTAAAGTACTGGAGGAACCAAGGACAGGGAAGGATGAACCTCTGGGTCAGTTCCCTTTCCCTAAAGCCAAAAGTATGGAGTAAAGTTAACCCAAAGGGCAGAGGTCATGCTCCAGGATAGGGCTGGGCTTGACTGGGAAATAGTCCATACTCTTCTATGGGTAAGGACCAGAAAAGTATGTCTACTGGCTTGGGTCACATAGCAAATAAAGGGGAGTTGGGCAGGCTCAGACCCCAGGCAGCATGATTTTGCTGGGACTGAATTTTCTTGCTACTTGGAGAAATTTTCTTGCCATCCTTTCATTTTGCAAATATTTATTGAATTCTTTCAGCCCTCACTGGGACCAGCATGGGGTCCTAATGGCACTCAGGGTGCTCAAACTTTTTGTCTGAAAACCAAAAAGTTTCAAGAGAAATAAGTTGTTCAAAGAGCTGTTGTTACAAAGACTTTAAAATGAGTGAAGGGGAGGGACAGTGCTTGGGAAGAGTGAGAGGCTTCTCTGAAACTGTGAACTGATGGAAGAGAAGGAGCTAATTGGAGGAGATTTGGGGAACAGTATTCCAACAGAGGGAACAGCCAATGTGCAAAAGCCCTTTTATAATAACAAACCTGGTGTGTTTTGGAAAGCAGGGGCTGCAGTGGCTGAGCTGAGTGAGGGGGACCAGTAGAGGAGAGAAGAGGAGGGAGAAATCAGGGAGGGGGTGTCAGGCCAGAGAAGATCTGCTTTGCTTCTCTTAAAACTCCATGGCTTGCTGTGCAGATCAAGGTAAGAGGGTTATCAAGGAAGGGGATGTCGAGAGGCATCCCCCAATGAGACCGTGGGGCCTGGATCTGAATGGAATGGGGAGAAAGGGTCTCAGAATGGGGATGTGTTTTGGAATCAGAGCCAACAGGATTTGTGATGGATTGGACATGTGGGATGAGTGAAGGAGAGAGTTGTCACGCGCGCTTCCAGGTCTCTGGCCTGAGCACCTGGGTGGATGGGGGAGCCCTTTCCTGAGACCAAAATAACTGGAGGAGGAGCACAGATGGGAGAAAAAAAGTCATGAGTTTGCTCCAGAAATCTAAAGTCCTCCCAGGAGAGAATCAGACGTCTCTACCCCCACAGGGAACATCTGCAGGGCAGGGGCTGTGGGGGAGGGGCAGCAAGCATCCAGGAAACACGATTCCAGCCAAGAACTGCCACCTCCACTTAACCCTCTGGGCCACCTGGCAGGTGGGACTCTTGATCCATTTTTCTGAGGGGACACACAGGCCTTAGAACTACCTCTGCGCCAGGAGATGTGCAGTGCTCTGGTAAGCACTTAGATTGTGGAGACTTCTGCAGCATTGTCTTTTCCCTTTGGCTGGGAGTTGCCCACTATGCAAAGGGAAGAAACTGAGGCACAAAGAGGCCTGGTTTGCCCCAGGAAATGACACTACCCTCCTTGGCTATGCCTCCCTCCTCCTTATCCAGTGGTCCAGATGGGGAGGTACCCTGAGTCCCTAAGCCCCATCCTCAAATCTTTTTTGACAGCCTGGGGTCCTAATTGGAGAGGAGGAGGGACTTGAGCAGACTAAATGGGGACGTTTGTGGCCCCTTCTGACACTTTTACCCAGTTGGCTAGCTGGGGACATGAAAGGAGGGCTCCAGCCTCTAAGGGAACTCCTGCAACAGGGACTTGGAGCTCTTTTCCAAGGACACTGTAGCTGAGGGCAGGGCCGCGACCCAAACCACGGGGTAGGGGACCGCCCAGGAACTCTCATTTCAGGCACCCACTCCTCTGGGGCCTTGGAGGCCAAGAACCCTTTTATTTCCCGTGGGCGCCCGGATCGAGTGAGGACAGAGAGAAGAAGGATGAGTCTCCCGGCCCAAGCCGGGTCCGAAACCGGAGCAATGGCCAACAATAATAAACGGAGAAGGCTCTTCGCGCAAAAAGAAGTAAGACAAACTATGCGTTGCTCCGGGCGGCCGGCGTTACCTGGAGTCGGTGGGCGGCGGCCGCCGCAGCGATTACTCACCGCGTGGCGCACCCCACCCGCGGGCCGCTGAGTGGATTTTTCCGTGAGGGGGGGTTGTGAGTGAGTCCCAAGAGAAGTCCTCCCAGCCATTCTTCTTCGGGGAATTCCTCCTACCCCAATGAGAGACCCAGTTCGCGCAGGCCTGGGGTTTCGCTCCCGAGGGCTACATCTCCTCATCTGCCCACACAGCAGCTCCCTGCTGAGGCTCCAGGGTTTCCCCAGGCAACCTCAAATTCATTCCGCGTGAGGAGGATAACTGAGCCAAGGCGAGGGCCAGGGTCTCCGTGCCCTCCTGCTTTTTCTACTTCTTTCCTAGCAAAGCCCGGGGCTGAGGCTACGCGCGGAGAACCCAAGAGAGGCAGGATGAGGTGGGAGGACCGCGACCGATGGGACCGGCGCTCCAGGGGCGTGGGGCTGCGGGCGATTTTCCAGGCCCCTGGGGAGGAAGAGGGGCTGGAGATGGAGACAGGCGGAACTCAGGGACCGCTCAGTGGGAGGGCGGGGGCCAGAGTTGGGTGGGGGCCGAAGAGGGAGGATTGGGTGGGGGAGGGGGTATGGAGGAGCAAGGCAGAGTTCGGGATCCCAGAGGACACTGAAGGGTCGCTGGGTTGAGAGCAGGGTACAGCGAAGTGGACAGGGGAATGGAAACGGGATGCGGGACGCCGGGTCCAAACGGGGGTGGGGAGCTTGGACCTGGCAGTTAGAAAGGGAGGTCCCAGACCGATAGAAGTTGAGTTCCCGGGATCTGAGCCCCAGGACAGGGCACGCATGGTTGGCGGTGGGCCGGCGGCCAGACAGGCAGGACGCGCGGTACCC